GCCCTAAAAAAGACTCTTTAAAATACTGGTAAGAGTTGAGATATCTAAGCATAAACTCCAGGGACAGAAGAATACTTGATTTCACAATTAACTTTGTAGTCTTACTTTAGGCTCTGCATGGCCTCAGGCGAGATGGATAAACCTCTCTAAGCATCTATTTTTCATTAGTAAAAGACAGATTTATCTTGGGACAGTCAAATGCTCAGCTACGAGGATGAAAAGCATGCAATATTTCTTACTATTGTTATATAATATTTGGTCACTCCTAGCAAAACTAATAGAAGGAAAGATCAATGTAGAGCAGATAGGAAAAGAAAAAGGTATTTCAGTTGAAATTTGGCACAGTTTCTACAGTAATGTGTCACAGTACTGAGGCTGCAGGTGTAGTAAAAGCCGTTTTCATTTTAAGCTTCTATTTCGAGCAGCTCCACACAATATTTGGCATTGTGTTCTTAGTATCAGAAGGTAATTCTTTTTTAAAATTACAAACATGCATCTCTGTGGGGTTCAAGGCTAAAAAAGAAGGAAACTGAGAAAAGTGAAATTGGGAACATTTCTGCAGGCTATTTTTCCCCCAGTAAATTCAAAAGAACTCAAGAAAAAGAAAACCTGACATTTTCACCAATATCACCATCCACATATTTTTCTTTTAGTTTGTTAACTTTAAATAAAGATACATACAACATATGTGGCAGCGTACATGTGTGGAAATGGTGGAGAGATTATCTTCAGACAGATAAGGAAGAAACGAGAAACCTAGACAAGGCATCTGTGTTGATAAGTAGATTGTTCTGGGATTTCTTTGGAAACCATGGGGCTGACTGTGCAGCAGAGTAGACTTTATGGTCAGGCTAGCATCAGGCCCCCAGGTTATTCTAGATTTGTCCCTTAACTTCTCTAGGGAGTAGCTTCTTTTTCTGAAATAGGTACAGTAATAACAGTCTGTAGTTCATGGCCACGCCCACGGAATGGTTCCCTAGAGAGTTGCCTATGGACCAAGAGCTGTTCTTTCAGGATCATCTGTATTTATTCCTCTGATGCACTTGGGAGAGGAACAGAATTGCATGTAGCTCCGGGGCTCTGTGGAGGTGTCAGATGACTTTGCAGAAAGTGTTTCCAATATCCTTCAACTGGTGTGCAAGGTCGATTTTCCTCTAGTTAAGTCTTAATGCCAGATATGTTCCTCTGTCCATGATCTCTGTCTCCACTGACACCCAGGTCAGCAGCACCTTCCTCCAGTTACCTTCTTTCCTCATTTTCAGAGGGTAGGAGTCACGTTGGATGAAATTGTTGTAATGACCAGCGTAAAACCATGAATTTTACATTTGTTTAAGACACTCTGTAGCGGGTGCCCAGACAGATGCTCTGCACACTGTTGCTATTGTTTCTAGAATTTCTTGCCTTCGGTTGTTACTGAAGGGAGCAGCACTTGTTGACATGCTCCATGTTACATATCCTGCCACCATGTTATGTTTCAAGGATTGAAGCTCATTCCCAACTTCAGCCACATAAAAGGAAAGCTTTCACATAGCTAAAAGACGTGAATTTAATGTTTGTGGAACCCCAATTCACAGATTTTTACGCCCTCACTATCACCCAAATGGGGCTCTACTCTGATTTCATTTAGGTTTTGTTTGCCTTAGGAATTTACTAGGCATTGACTTAATTCCCAGATATCTTCATGCTGGTCTGGTCCTGGGGGTTTGATGTGCACAGCTCATCACTCTTGCCTCCTTCATTGGTCCTACAGAACCTGATCCTGATACCATGTCACATCCATGCAAAGTCCCTTCCCACTTCCAGAGGGAGCAGAGCCCTGCCTCACATGCAGAGCTAGGATGCTGTTTTCCTTGCTGACTTCACCCTCAGTAAGCTGGAGAGAAAGTTAAGACCACTTATAAAGCAGCTGCTGCTCCAATGAGCTCAGGACCTTGCTCATTTCTGGGTGTTCCCCAAATTGAGGAACGTGTTTTCAAAGCAAAATGCTGTGCTTATGTTCAAGTTCCTTCTACTACACTGGATCACTGCAGTGATGTGGCTTAAAATAGTATGCTTTGTAAATTTTTAGGTTGAAACTTGCCACCTGATAGTCACTATTAATAATTACCTCAACCTTCTTGGTTAAATGTCAACTTGGGAAACAAAACCCAGAGATTTAAGATATTATTTCCCCAAATCTGGTCCAGGGTTTCTTGGACTAATTATTGAAAACAACACCTCTTGTGTGTAATCACAACCACACAAGATCAGGATTTGCATCTTTAGTAGCTGGCTTGTGGGGTCTGTGATACTAATAAATGCACCATTTATTATCCTTCCCAAATCAACAGAGCATTGCTTTTATATCTGTAGACAGTTTAAGTCTGATTTTGTCTCAGAGGACCAAAATTCCTAAAATATGAGGTACAATGGTTGTGAACTGGTTCATCAAACCAGAGAGTTATTGGAATCTTTTCAGAATGAGGCAAGACTTTGATGGTAGGAGAAAGGAGACAAAAACAGAAAAAAAATGGGATCCTGAGATAAATTTCCTCCCTTCTTGATTTTGCCTGCAGATAATCCCTGGGAGACTGTAGAGCTGGTGAAGAAAGTGTGGAATTTAAACCTCAAGTAACTTCTAAGTTAAGAACCATACTCCCAAATGAAATAACTCTGTTATTATTTTTAATTCCCCTTGCCCAAATACCCTGAGGCATTAAGCTACTTGATATAGCAGTCTAGATACAAGTACATTTTCAGAACCAAGGCAGCTTTTCTGTTTTTTTCCTCACATCATAGTAAAAATGTGTTAGATGGGTTGACTGCCTGGGTTCAAAATTTCAGAAATTTGCACCTAAATTGCACCTGTAAAATATGTCCTCACACATGCACACAAGTAATTTTACTTGCAAATTATCGTTTTGCATATGTAATTACTTAGTTGCATCTGGATATACTTTTGGAGGACAATTAAGTGTTTACTTTGGAAAATTAGATCACTAATTTAATGTTCATTTATATAAGACTAAGAATTTGAACTTCTAGAACTTTTTATAATTAGGAGGAAAGATCAATATATGCTGCATCTGTTCTAAGTGGTAACAGAGGGGTATGCTCTTCTATCCAGCCATGTGTTATGTTTTTAGGTATATTTGAGTGATTTCTGTGGGCCATGTGGGGTGCTTCATGCTAGTCATAATGATAAGCCAAAAGTTCCCTGATTCAAGCATGGATACTGATACAGTGTCCAGTTGGGTTTAGGGAGAATAGTGCTTTGTGCCTTGCTTGACAATGACAAATTAAACAATTTTCATTATTTTTTAATAGTATACATTGAGTTCTCTCCTACTATGTATTATATCCAGTTGGCAATTAGCAGTTGTCATTTATCCTTCTACTCAGTTGATGAAGTAGATGTTGAAATGTAAAATTGGGGCTGGTGAGATGTCTCAGTCTATAAAGGGTTTGCCTTGCAAACTTGAGGACCTGGGCTCATGATACAAAAAAGCCCATTCATATATGAGCAGAGATAGATGAAGTCAGAAGATAATAAACAAACTAGACATAAAGTTGGTAGGGAGATATTTTGGAAAGATTCCATTGGGAATTTGAGGAAAAGAGTGAAGGCTTGATTTGATCAAGATAAATTGTGTACATGTATAACATTTTCAACAAATAAATTGATAAATGAAAGTTCACTTATCTTTAAAATATAAACAAACAAAAAGCCAGGGGCATTTGTGAGCCCTTGTCATCCTAACACTGTGCTGGGGGGAGAGAGAGATATAGGGAGATTCTTGGGCTTTATGAATCAGCGAGGCTAGATTTCATGGAAAGCTCCAATCCTACAAGATATCCTGTCTGAAAAAATAAAAAGGACCACACCTCTTCTGACCTCTACATGTACACATGCATGCGTGTACTCCCATACACATGCAGATGTATACTGTTGCCAAATATATGCACATATGCATACATGCACAGATGAGGCACTTAATTTTGGGGGATTCCATTTTCATCTCTTCTAGTTAACAAAATCAGTGTGAGTGATGTATTTTTGGTGGGTTTGCTTAACTTAATCAGTCAGACAGTATGTGATTAATGGAAGGATGAGTTACTGGAAATGAAAGGCTAATGATAACTTGTGATGAATGCCTTTCTTATAGAAAGATTTGGGGTTTTGTGAATTTACACAGTTTTACCTGTTCCTAAAACTATGCTTTACAAGACTGTTGTGATACCAACTTCAATTTTGTGTGCCTGTACATTGCTTCATCAGTGAAGACATACTGACACACATGCATTCGTCTGTATAGTGTCCCATAAAGTCTGTATAGAACACTGTAAAATAAATGTGTTCAATTTCTCTTTCAGATCCAATTAAAAGAAAAAAATTCACAGACATTCTGTGTTGAAAAGCCCGAAAGATATTGTTAGCTCCATTACCTTACTTTACACATGGATAAATGGGCTGTTAAAGACCACATGCAGCCGTGGTTCTCAATTTTCCTAATGCTGTGATCCTTTAGTAGTTACTTCATCATGCTCTGATGATACCCCTAATCACAAAATTATGTCATTGCTACTTCATAAGTGTAATTTTGTTACTACTTTGAATAATAATGTAAATATCTGATATGCAGGATGATCTATCAGTCCCAAAGAGGCTAAGAACCACTGATATATAGAATAAGAAAAGGAAAAGATTTAATTCAGGGACTCTTTTACTATTCTATATTGGAGACACATACAGGAAGTATCAAGCATTATCTTTGCAGATCCTCTGGTGATCCATTGGCTATGGAACTTCTTTGAAGAAAAAGACAAAAGTTATATAATACCAGAGAAATGATTAAACAGGCAGACTGCTTCTGCATACAATACTACTCCTTTAAGAAACAAAAATTCAACATTCATCAAAGGCCGATAAAGACAAGATTGTTACAGCAATGGGAAAGAATATAGAGAGATATCTAGGAATTTCATGTAGTTTACACCCTGTTTTGTTTTCTTCCAATCAGAGTCTGAACAGGAAACAGATGTCAAGCATAAATTAGGAATATTCCAAGAAAACCTATTTACATTGGAACCAATTATGGAAGGGTAAGCTTGATAAAGAACTTCAAGAAATAGTACACTAAGACTATGTGCCCAAGGAGCTACTGCCACCATGAGGTATGAAAATAGAGTGAGTGCTAGAACCCAGAAAATAAAGAACCTTCTCTGTAGAGGTACCTCAAGTAGATCATGACCTTGGGACAGATACCTGCAAACTGAGATAGGAGACCCAAGAAGAACACTCACTCTAATGTCATTCTTCTTCCACTTCTTATTTTTTATTTGGATTCCTACAGTCCGGTAAACCTATTAATGTCCTGCATCAAATGAGACCAAGACAGGTAATATGTGAGAAAGATTCAAGTTGTAATTGGATAATGTGAGATTCATGTCCATAAAGAAAGAGCATATCTGGGCTGGAGAGCTGGCTCAGTAGTTAAGATCACTTGCTAATATTTCAGAGGATTAGAGTTTGGTCCCCAGAACCCAAGTTGGGTGGGTGGTCCACAGATGTCTATAACTCAGGCACCAGGGGACCTAGTACCTCTGGTCTCCATAGGCACCTGTACTCATGTGCACATAACTACATGCTGTCATACACCTGCACATAGTTAAAAATAATAAAAAGTAATGTTAGAATATGTCTGGTGTTATTAGATATTTAAGTTAAACCACAGTAAAAGAAAAATCACTGGTACCACTGAATCCAAATGATCTATTGATACAATCACTCACAAGACATGGACACTTTTTTTCTTATATTTTTGGGTGTGAGCCTAGCCTCTAATGGCTGAACCATGTCTCCAGCCCAACACTTGTTTTTATTTAGTGGAATGCAATAATTGTTTACCTCTAATGTAAATAGTCCATAAATAGTTGGGTAGTCTAAGGCAATTGATAGCTTTTCTCTGTGAGCACACCCATTGACATATCTGTTTTATTTTTTTACTTATTCAGCACCATAATACTTAGTTTTTAACATGGTGGAGGCCAAACTAGAATGTGTAGGTAAAGCAGTTTCTTTTCTTTAAAAGACTTTAGTTTGGGTATTGCATATGTTACTTCTGCATGAATATCTATCTTGTCTAATTCCATAAGCCATGCCCCTGTGACCATGGGTATTTACCTTTGTCTTGTCTATCTAGTGAGTCAGGAAGTGGATTTTTTCCCCTCAAAGGCTGGTATGTCTTATTTGCTTCTCTATTAATAACTTAAGTGATGGATCTAATGTTTCAGTTCCTTTCATTATACCTGAACTTGGGTGAAAAGTAACACCAGAAGACGTAGTCTCTCAAACCCTGAGTGGTTCTTTTTGGAGCGAAATGCAGTTTATACAGTTAATTCTTCCAAGAAAAACCTAAACCCAAGAACAATAGAAGACTGGAGGAAGCTTAGTTTCTTTCATCTTTCATTTTTCATTCCTCATGGAATATTTTTTACTCTTCTCTTATACATTATATTCAATTTCCTTCCCTAGGCTCCTCCTATCACCCCGCCCCCACCACAGATCCACTCATTGTTGGTGTCCATCATAAAAGAGCAAGTCTCCCAGGGACATCAACCGAACATAGCATAACTTATATTAAGACTAGGCACAAACCCTCATAAAAAAGACTGGACAAGATAACCCAGTAAGAGGACAGGGGTCCCAAGAGCAGCCAAAGAGACAGCCCCTGCTCACACTGTTATGAGTCCCCAAGAACACCAAGCTACAAACCCATAACTTACGTTCATAGGATCTAGCTCAGGTCCATGTAGGCTCCTTGGTGGTCTCTGCATCCCCTATGAGCCCTGCTAAATTGATTCTCTAAGTCCTGTTCTCCTGGTGTCCTTGACCCCTCTGGCTCCTAAAATCCTTCCTCTTCCTTTTCCATGGGGTTCCCCAAGCTCCATGGTGATTCTTGGTACTCTGCCTGGAGATCTGTTCAATAAACTGATGCAATTTACTAGCCTCATGCTGTGAAAAGATCATTTTATATCTTTTTTTTTTTTGGTTTTTCGAGACAGGGTTTCCCTGTGGCTTTGGAACTCGCCTGGAACTCGCTCGGTAGACCAGGCTGGTCTCGAACTCACAGTGCTCCGCCTGCCTCTGCCTCCCGAGTGCTGGGATTAAAGGCGTGCGCCACCAACGCCCAGCGCATTTTATATCTTAATTGTTCTATCTTCCTTTATCCTCATTTGTGGTCAAGTAAATTTACACCTCTGAAAAGTGTTTTCAGCTGCATCTTTAGCTAATTTTTGTGCTTCAGGGAACATGCAGATAGGATGCATCTATTCATATATAGTACTGGTCAGTTCTATCTCACCATTGAGCTGTAGAGAGCATTTTCACTGAATAGGACAAATGAGAAAAGAAAAAAACAAACAAAATGACTGCATATTTAGACAAGTGGGTAAGATTTCATAAAATAAAGTCAGAAATAAAAACAAGAAATGATCTTGAACAAAATCATATGCATAGAATAAGCCCCTACACAAACTGAATAAAAATAATATTTTTAGAACCTAGCATGAAAAAACAAGCATTACATACTTCTGTGTCTTTAATTACTAAGAGAGGGAACAAAAATAATTTAACTCGTTGCAATTCCCATTTCTCAGCTTGAAGATAAGCAGGGTTTTTGCCTGGAGTTCCTTCACAGTTATGAATATCAGCTGAGGTATGTAAAGGAAGTTATTTGATACTTTAGTTTTTATATGGTATGGCTTGAGTAGCTGTGAGACATTTCAGTAGGTTAAGGCATTTGCCATGCCAACCTAGCAGAGTATGATCCCCAGAATTCATGTAGAGGTGAGAGGATCTACTTCACAAAGTGTTTATTTATGCATGTTATGGCATTTGTGCATATTCCCATACACATGTGCATTGGAACAACACATTTAAAGCAACTTTTAAAGAAAAAAAAACCACATTTCACATAGTTCATTCTCTATGTTAAAACATTGCTTTTCCCCCATGATAGTTTGTCATTTCCTAATAGTGAGGTAATTTCATTGTCCGCGTACCAAAGGTAGCAAGTAAAGAAGGAAAGGGCAATTTAGTGGAGAAGAGGATTTTCACTTTCACCATTGTCATGACTGACGACATCCTCTAGGATATGGAATTGTCACATGGCATCAACTAGAACCCAATGGCCACTGAAACAGGAGATTCCATTCCAAGAAAAGAAACATCTGTCCTTTGGGGCTGGAGATAAGACAAGGGGGAAGAAAGAGATTGAAAGAGGCTGATGGAAAATAAATTGCAAGGTTTCACCAGTTCTTAAAATAAAGGGCTGAAAGAGAAATCAGAGAAACATCACCCTTTACAATTGCCACAAACAACATAAAATACCTTGGGGTAACGCTAACCAAACAAGTGAAAGACCTGTATCGTAAGAACTTTGAATCTTTAAAGAAAGAAATTAAAGAAGCCCTCAGAAAATGGAAAGATCTCCCATGCTCTTGGATAGGTAGGATCAATGTAGTAAAAATGGCAATCCTGCCAAAAGCAATCTACAGATTCAATGCTATCCCCATTAAAATCCCAGCACAATTCTTCACAGACCTTGAAAGAACAATAATCAATTTTGTATGGAAAAACAAAAGACCCAGGATAGCCAAAACAACCCTGTTCAACAAGGCAACGTCCGGAGGCATCACTATCCCTGACCTCAAGCTCTATTATAGAGCTATAGTCCTGAAAACAGCTTGGTATTGGCACAAAAATAGACAGGCAGATCAATGGAATCGAATTGAAAATCCTGGTATTAACCCACACACGTACGAACATCTGATCTTTGACAAAGAAGCTAAAAATATACAATGGAATAAAGAAAGCATCTTCAACAAATGGTGCTGGCATAATTGGAGACTGGCATGTAGAAACATGCGGATCGATCCATGTTTATCGCCATGCACAAAACTTAAGTCCAAATGGATCAAAGACCTCAACATAAATCCAGCCACACTGAACCTCTTAGAAGAGAAAGTGGGTGGTACCCTTGAAAGAATTGGTACAGGAGACAGCTTCCTGAACATAACACCAGTAGCACAGACAGTGAGATCAACAATTAATAAATGGGACCTACTGAAACTGAGAAGCTTCTGTAAGGCAAAGGACACAGTCTGCAAGACAAAAAGGCAGCCCACAGAATGGGAAAAAATATTCACTAATCCCACATCTGACAGAGGGTTGATCTCCAAAATTTACAAAGAACTCAAGAAGCAAGTCTCCAAAACAGCAAAGGACCCAATTAAGAAGTGGGCTGCAGAACTAAATAGAGAGTTTTCAATAGAGGAGTCTAAAATGGCTGAGAGGCACTTGAGAAAGTGCTCAACATCCTTAGCCATCCGGGAAATGCAAATCAAAGCAACTCTGAGATACCATCTCACTCCTGTCAGAATGGCTAAAATCAAAAACACCAATGACAATTTATGCTGGAGAGGATGTGGTGAAAGGGGGACACTCCTCCATTGCTGGTGGGAGTGCCAACTGGTTCAGCCACTTTGGAAAGCAGTATGGAGATTCCTCAGAAAAATGGGAATAAACCTACCACAAGACCCAGCAACTGCACTCTTAGGCATATATCCAAAAGATGCCCATTCATATAACAAAGATGTCTGTTCCACTATGTTCATAGCAGCTTTATTTGTAATAGCCAGAACTTGGAAGCAACCTAGATGTCCCTCACCCGAAGAATGGATAGAGAAAATGTGGTACATCTACACAATGGAGTACTATTCAGCAGAAAAAAATAATGGAATCATGAGATTCGCAGGCAAATGGATGACACTAGAAGAAACCATCCTGAGTGAGGTAACCCAGTCACAAAAAGAGAAACATGGCATGTACTCTCTCATATATGGATTTTAGACATAGATCTGGGGAGTGCCAGCCTACAATCCTATTGCCAGAGAGTCTGGGAAACAGAAACTTCATTTACTGGCTGGTTAAGTACTGAGCTGAACTCAAGAAAGCCAGTATCAGAGAGGGAGGACTGATGATCAAAGGGATTAAGACTGGGCTGGTTGAACCCCCAGAAACAGCTGACCAGACAAAGGTT